TGGGGGGGGGGAAGACGGAGCCCCATTGTCCCGCGCCACGAACCTCATGGGCAGCTCCAGCTGCCCCAGGCCTGCTCCATCGCCCGGGTGGGGGCTGCCGGCTGCAGGGAGGGTGAGTGGGGGGCTGTGGGCCAGGCGCATTGTGCAGCTGGGGGTCCAGGAGGGCCCGTTGGCCCCAAGTCCCGGCTCCAGGGGACAAACACTACGGGTGAACGGGGGCAGCCCCAGGGACCAGGCCAGCCCCCAGCACCAACACTACGTAACAAGGGACCAAGGCTGCAGTGTTGGCCACGTGGGGGGGTGGGGGTCTGGGCAGGAGGATCATTTTTTACACTACCTGCCCATCCAGTCCCCCCCGCCCCTCCAGTCCGGACCCATGTCTCCATCCCCTCCTGTCACCGTCAGCTGAAGTTGGGGTGGGGGGGAACTTTTTGTACATGTAAAATATACTGATAAATGTATCTACCCCACGCCTCAACTGTCCTGCGCCGGGCCGGGGGGGGGCAGGGACCCCCAGGGGCAGGGGCTTTGGGCAACAGGGAAACTGGGTCCTGGCCTGCTCCTGCCCCAGGGACAGCTCCGCAGGCCCCAGTGCCATGCGCCCACCCCATGCCGCTAAGTCAAGAACAAGGCAGCACCTCCCCCTTTATAAATATTATTTAAAAAAGAAACCCCAAGTCCCCCGAGTGCCAGAGATGTCTCGGTGCACCCCACGCCCACAGCAGGGGAAGGAGGGACCCACACCCACAGGCCGCGCAGTCGGTGCCATCCTTGGGGGCAGCTTGTTCTCTGTCCGGGAGCCGGCGTGGGCACGGCTGCAGGGGCAGCGCCGGGAGCCCCACAGGGGCAGCGGGGGTCCAGTCCTGGTCAGTGCAACAGCAGGGCCGGGCCAGGGGGAGCCCTGTGGCTCAAGCTCCGGCATGGGGAGGCCCCGCGGGCAGGCAATGCAGCCCCCGGGAGGTGGCTACTGGTGGTCATCCAGCTGCTGCAGCAGCGTCCGGCGCCGCTTCTCCAGCTCGCCTTCGCTGGGCTCACTCTCCGACGTGTCCCAGCCGCTCTGCCGGCAGGGGGCCGGG